ATATAAAAATAATTTTTATCCAAGTTAACAATAAGAATGCAGTATACCTCAAATACAATAATGTAATACAATTAAATTAGACCCGAGTTACATGGTGGATGGTGATATTTATATATACATATAATGGTGACTCATACCGATGATTCTTTGTCACTAATTTCTGGATGGTATAATCTTGGAGTAGCTGATTTTATCTTACAATAACAATAAAATGATATCATTAAAGTTAAAAGGCTACTAGTCATCATGCCTATCACCACAAAAATATAATACCTATGTTTTCCTCCCGGGAAATTTCTATCTCTTAAAACACTTATTTCATTTTCTATAGTTTCCAGTGATTTAGCATGCTGACTTAAGTCTTTGAGGTCCATGGGGTTCATGGATTCCGGAAATTTGTACTCAGAGAGTGACTTTTGCTGATTATCAGTTAAGTTCGTTATTACTGGGTGGGTTTCAATGAAAGGGATGTGAGGTGCTAAAGAGATATTCTTTGAGAACTCTTGCGATGGGATAAGAATTGCTTGTTGAGTGTATGCCTTACACCCCGGATTTAGCGTTAACTGTCCCACCCCGTTTAAAATAATATTAGTTGGTTCCTCTTTCGAGCATTTTATCGCGATACTTTCGTTTCTGGCTACATATATCCAATGATTATTTGCATTGCCTAACCTATTAAAGATAGATCCCGTTATTTCCACGTATTTGATCTTACAGACATTGGGTTTTTCTATGTGGCCCAGTAGAAACTCAAGGCTACATATGGTATTTGTCGAGGTATACATTGTCATTAATTGAGAACAATAAAAGTCATTATCAACATGTTTGCAACTTTCTAATTGTTTTTCAGACAGAATAACATAATATTCCCGATTAACACTCAAACCCAAGATAGGATCGACAAATGTATAAATTGCGTAAACATCTTTTTGTTTATGTACAGGAATGGGGATGGTTCTGTAACTTTCAAATTTATTTGAATTTATTAACGGGATTGTTTGGACAAATATTAGAGTGTTGTCGACTAAAATAACTGAGACCTGAGATATTTGTATAAGTTTAGCGATCGTAAGTTTCTCTAAGGAGAAAGGTAAACTTAATCCAGAGGGTAGACTTAATAAGATTTCCTTTAAATGTAGTTTATACTGAGTATGCGTCATAAGATTTGGATGGATTTGTCCGTGGATGGCAGAGTTTACTATGTGTAATAAGCGCTGGATTTCAAATGCTTGTTGGGTTAAAAGTAGGTTTATTACCGTGACTCGTTCTACCAAGATTTCCCGTACTTCCAATTCTGACATTTCTGTTTGCGCTCGGTCTATTTTATCGTATAACCGTCTCATTGACGTATCTGAGTCCCTTCTGGACTGAAGTAATGGGGCAAGTATGGCATTCACATCTGCTATGGTAGCGCGAACAATTCGTGCTTGTGATGCGGTCAGATCCAAAGTATTCTTTGATGTATAGCTTAACTCAGAGACAGATTTGTACAAAAAACTTGCATCCTCGTCTGAGCAGACCCCGAATAATACTTTTGCGATTCGACCAACCAGGTTTATAAGGCCTCGCCTTCTTCTGTTTGGCTGTGGTTCTGACCCTAAGGAGCTCAGAATATCTTCTTTGACCTGTTCAATCTGATGGAATATAGAAGTAGTAGCCGATGTCATCCATTCGCACGTTGTACGAATGACAGTACCGTAAAATGGGGTTACTTTGATATTGCGGGGCTACTTTGATAATTGAGGTTTTGTTATGAAAACATTGATTATAATAGTTAATAATCTGTACAAATTGTCGTTTTTAATATTTAGTCGTTTAGTACAACTAGTCTAGAACCCAAATATGTTGTTGATAATACGTTCTTATCAATGATTGTTTGATTTTCAGTGTTTATTCATCTTATGATTAACTAGTACTTTTTTTTTTTCATAATTTAAGATCTGCGCAAAGTAAGTACACTTTTATACACCATTTTTTAAACCATCTAAATAACATGCTAATGTAACGGAGACCGAAACACAATGTTCAAAGTTCAATTCCATGTTGAATTTAATGAAATACATATAAAAATTTGACATGGGGCTACTTTGATATATCATATAGGGCAACTTTGATAACTATTTTATACATACATTTAACAGTGAGTTTTTGGTTTGGTAGTTGGTTTTAGTTATACTTGTTATAAAAATAGTTGGACACCACTGCATACATATTTAATTCATTACTTTTACATTTAGTAGATAGTTCATTATATATATTTATATATTTTAGTGGCTCGCAAATATAGAAAGAAGATTGGTGGTCGGTCTTATAAAAATTACTCAGATGACATTTTAGAGGAAGCACTAAATAAAATTGCCAATGGTGAGATTTCAATATTAGCTGCCAGCAAGGCATATAAAATTTCCTATGGAACATTGCACAATAAATTCAATGGCAAACATGTTAAGAAGTGTGGTCATCCAACGATTTTATTTATATTTATTATATATATATTATATTTTATTGTTATTGTTATTATTTTGTTTTTATTACCTACCTGGCTACCTAATAAAATTTTAATGGAATTGAAAGAAATGTGTTCATTTGAATTAATAGGTATATTTGTTTAGAAAAAAAAACATGTATCAATGTAACCCCACTTCACTTATATTAAAATATTTCATAAAATAATTATCAAAAAAATTTTTTTCGGACAACATTGATAGTTTGGTTAGCTAACCATTTGATTTAATGAATAAAAACTGGGGGTATCAAAGTAACCCCATATATGGTCAAACTTTGATAGCTACATTGAATTTAAAAAATATATGTGTTAAGATAATAAAAAAATTTTTTTTTTTTATGTATTATTGTAGAGAAATATATATTTGAAGTAAACCAATTTAATGAATACATTTTTCTTTACCATAGCATTAGTTAAATAAAAATAGAACTAAAAAAACTAACAAAAATTATCAAAGTAACCCCATTTTACGGTAGTGGGATTTTGTAGCACGTATTTATGGCAGAAAGCTTCCAATAAAGCATGTTCGGTTACAATATCGTCATGACCTTTATCCAAGATTGACATATTCAGAAAGATAATCTTATATTCACTATCAATGGAGTGTATGGTCCCTAATGGTTTATACATAATTCCAGTAGTAGGTACCGGTCGAATAGTATAGCCATCTGTTTTACGTTGCTCGGTTGCGTTGATGCTGAACTTGTTCAGGACTCTAAAAATGCAAAATCCATTTTTTTTTTTTTTAAATGTTACTGTGTACAGGTTAGTGCTAATACCATTATTCTAATTTAGGGTGAGTGTATATATACAATTTGTCATGTGTGATCTTAAGCAATTATTTACATTTTTTTTTTTTTTTTTATATTATTATTCACCGAATAGTTTAAGGAGGTTCGTGTGAACCTTGGCCTTCCGTTTCCCCTTTAGAATTGTAACGTTCTCGTTGGCGTTTAATCCAATCACAGGATACGGTCCTAACCACTTAGAGCTGAGTTTCCCTTGCCTAGTCCTATTCTGCAACAATACCTTATCACCTATATGGATTGTAATGGGTTTGGCAAATGAATCATATTTGTCCTTGGTACGGTGTTTATTTTGGATCAATCTCTCTCGAGCGATTTGGTGCGCTTGCTGTAATTTACTCCGTAACTCCGCATGGTAGTCCTCGTAATTGTATCGTGGTTCCAGTGGTTTAGCGATGGATGTTGGAACCCGTAATGTCCTTCCATATAGAAGTTCATAGGGTTGTTTACCGGTGGAACGGTGAACCGATGAATTGTAAACGAACATAGCGTACGGGATATATGTGTCCCAATTTTGTTGATCGGTGTCGACATAATGTCGTAAATACTCCGCCAATGTGCGGTGGCTCCGTTCTAGTGCTCCGTTTGCTTGCGGATGGTAGGGCGAAGTAGTTGTGCGTTTAACGCCTAAAAGTTTGCATGTCTCAGTGAATATCTTACTAAGGAATTCAGTTCCTTGGTCACTGATGAGATTTTGTGGTAGGCCATGGGTACACACAAAAGATGTTACAAAGTGGTAGGCTACCGTGTTAGCTTCTTTATTAGCCATAGGAATAGCTACAGAGAATTTTGTCAAATCACATTGTATGGTAAGTATGTAAACATTACCATTAAATGTCTGTGGTAAGGGTCCGACTACGTCTATGAATGTTCTTTCAAAAGGTTCCGAAGCCGTGGTACTAATCACCATAGGTTGCTTCGTACTCCTGTTATCAACTTTATTCACTTGACATGAAGCGCATTTTTTTATGTAGTCTTCTACGTCCCGTCTCATCGTATCCCATTGAAACTGCTTCCTGATTCTTTTGATAGTCTGTTGAACTCCACGATGTCCACCTAGTATACCCGAGTGGTGTTCAGTAATAATTTGCAATTTATCTGCCTCACTTAGATCATGTTTAGAATAAATTCTAATCGATATGCCGGACTCGTGAAATACGTATTGTATCATTTTTCTAACTTCAGTCCAATCCAACTCGTCATGACCACACCCAATGCGAGGTAGAGCCAGTTTATAAATTTCGAATTCCTGGCAGACTAGCCGAAGTTTTATTAGAGTATCATACATGTCTTTATAAGAAGGCTTTTGCCAATGTTTTTCTTTTGTAACGAGATGTAATATGTATCGAGTACCAATTTTGTAATAGATTACGTCGGTCTTCTTTGGTCGTTGCAACTTGAGCTCCTGCAAGTGTCCATACCGTCGGCGGAATTCCAATGCGATTCCCTGGCTGAGTTTGATGTCGGCTGATACACAATGTGCCAGATGAAATTCGTCAGATGCTTCGAAGAGATCACCTGTTACATCGTCTACTTCTGAATTTAGATTGGTGTGTGATGCTGTTTGATGTTCCTCGTATGGCAATATAGATGTGGTTGGATTTGTTATTTGGTGTTGTGTTCTTGTTTTCACGACCATGGTATCGCTAATGCGACTCAATGCATCAGCATTCGTGTTTGTCGTTCCCGCTTTGTATACCACTTCATAAGTATATTCCGCCAAATTTAACCTCCAGCGCATAAGTCTGGAGCCGGGATCCTTGACATTGAATAACCACGTAAGAGGTTGGTGGTCCGTGTATATTTTGAATTTTCTCCCTAGTAGATATGGGCGGAAATTTTTGATTGACCAGACTATGCTTAACAGCTCTTTCTCAGTTGTGCTATAATTTTGTTCGGCTTTATTCAGTGTGCGCGAGGCATATGCAATGGGTAGATCTTGGCTAGGTTCGCCCTGCGATAAATTGCTCCCTATTGCATATTGACTGGCATCTGTTGTTAAAACGAACGGTTTCTCAAAATCTGGGTACTGAAGAATGGGCGACTTGATTAACTCTTGTTTTAATTTGTTGAAAGATTCCTCACAATCTGCGGACCAGACAAACGGTACGTTCTTTTTCAAAAGAGATGTCAATGGTTTTGCAACGTGACTATACTGATTTATGAATCGGCGGTAGTAGCCTGATAAGCCTAGGAATTGTTTTACTTCGGTTGCAGTACGCGGTGCCGGAAAATCACGGACACAACGTATTTTTTCTGGGTCTGGCATAACCCCTTTTTCTGTAATTAGATGGCCAAGATAGATTACTTCCTTGCGTAAGAATTGGCATTTTGCGGGTTGTAATTGTAAATTAAATTTTTGTAGTCTCGAAAACACCTCTCGGAGTTTATATTCGTGTTCTTTTAAGTCGGCTGCATAAATAATAATGTCGTCTAAATAGACAAACGCTTTAGTGCCATTGATACCGGTTAACACCGTATTCATTAATCTTTGAAATGTGCTAGGAGCACCACAAAGACCAAATGGCATCTTAATAAACTCAAAGTGCCCTTTGTCGGTCGAAAACCCTGTTTTCTCGCGGTCTTCGGGCTTTATCGGTACCTGATGATAACCGCTGGCTAAGTCTAGGGTGGAGAAGTATCGTGAGCGACCTAGTTGGTCCAATATTTCGTCAATGCGCGGTATCGGATACGCGTCCCCGATTGTTAGTTGGTTTAGGCGACGGAAATCAACGCAAACCCGATATTGTTGGTTTCCTTCCGCATCTGGTTTCTTGGGCACCACTAATAAAGGAGCATTCCATGGAGACTCCGATGGTTGAATGATTTTATTGCGTTCTAACTCCTCCATTTGCTCGTTGATGACTTGCCGATGTACCTGTGGCAACTTGTACGGACGGATATTCACCGGAACCGTCTTGTCCGGGATCCGTATTTCGTGTTGCACAGCCGTAGTAGATGAAAGAATTTCATCCCTTAAATGGAAGAGTCCGGGAAAATCCCGTATGACCCTCCATAAGCTGCCTCGTTCTTCTGGAGACAGATGCTCGGTCTGTACTACTTTCCGGATCTCTGCCAATCGGTTCTCCTCCCGATTCGATGTAGGTACCATCCCCATTGTCTTCATTACGATTTCTTCATTAAAACTCTCATATTCTAAATCCCCTAAGATAGGAGAATCGATGTCGATTGCTTCTTCCGATGTGTTAATTGCGCTGACCATGATTTGCCCATTAATTACTGTGTTCAATACGTTCCCTATGCGCACCATTGGATTTTGGGTCAACTGAGAATAAATTATCCAACTTGTGCCTTCAGGTTGTTCAGTTAACACTGGTATGAGTGTCTCTGTCCTCGGTTTGATTTGAACTACTTTTGAGTCTTTTTGAATTATTGTTTTTGATGGCTCTGTCGGAGTGGTGTCAGGGACTGTGACGGGTGTAGTCACAACACGCTGCTGTTGTGGTGATTGGGATATCTTCGATGTTAGGAAGTCGATAATAATTCCATTGTCAACTAAAAATGACCTTCCCAAAATTCCTGCATGTGGTACAGGGAAATCATCCTGTATCACTTGGAATGATGTAGGTTGAACTACTTCTCCCAATTGAACGTCAAGAGTCACTGCACCGATAGTATGTACAAGAATTTCGTTAATGCCTTTCAATTGGTAAAACTGTTTTTCATCAACTAAGACATGGTCTTGCAAGTAAGATAGTTTGACCATATTTAAATCACTCCCTGTGTCAAGTAGAAAACGAGTGTATTCTTGTGTACATTGCGGTATGACAACGTTGACATGGTTGTCAATTAATGTTGATTCGAAACAGAGAGATCGCGCATACTGAGGGTGGCCGTTTTTATTTGTCCGACCGGACGTCGGCCAGCTGCGTCCGGTGTTTTCTCGTTTCCCGAATGTCGAACTCCGGATGATTTTTCTTCATTTCTTTTTGCGTTTACCCTCTGTCTTTTCCGACACTCCTCCAAACGGTGTCCTTCTTTTTTACAGTAACCACAGATGACTAACGATCTTGATGTACCAGCAGTTCTTTGATTATCCGTGTATTGCCTGGGTTGCTGCTGTTTCGCTTCCCATACCGGAGCTCTACAGTCTCGTGCGATATGGTTTGTCCTTCCACATTTATAACAACCATTTTTCATACTTGTTTTATTATCGTTAGTTCTTATTGATTTTTTTTGACTTG